CACACACACACACACACACACACACACACACACACCGCGCGCGCGCGCGCACACACACACACACACACACACACACACACACACACGACACACACACACACACACACACACACACACACACACACACACACACACACACACACACACACATATATATATATATATATATATATATATATATATAAATATAAAGGTTATAGGCAGGTTACATACGTTATACACGGGTCATGTCATGAACATATACGTGCTCTGGTTAGCTATAGCTTATGCAAGACAGGCTTCAATATGTGCGATGGCAGTAATGGCATTGCTTTTTTGTTCTCGGACGCCTTGACATGTGGTGGTGTGGACTGTGTGGTTGACTTATGACGAGGACGAGCCTAGATGACAGTATTATACGGACGGTGATAACAACTAGGCTGTTAGCTGCGTACGTCACTGCGCGAACACGAAGTATAGTAGGCCTGCAGAATTAATGAATTGAGCAATAATGTCTACGAGGAATGTAATAAGGTTGTTAATAACATTTCCTTATGTACGCCAATCTGCCGTTAATACCTGGCACCAGATTCTACGCGAGAGACCTCCTATGAACACATGGTTTATCCTTCTTATATACACATGAAGCACGGTGCAAAATCCTCGGCAGGGCGAGAAATTTCCAATTGATACCTGAATAATTCAACGTATGGGTGATAGAATGAATTGGTTATTATCCCTATACCGATAACGAGGTCGTTCGTTATTACAATCTAGGTTGACCGCATTCGCGTGAATAATTTACGTTCGTCGGCAATTTCTAGGCCGGCGTAGCACCGCCTGTGATATATAACGACGTACGTTTATGTCTGCCTGCTTAACACAGTTTAGCGCCGATTAAACGTGAGCGGGTTCGTAGCCACGAATTGCGAGTAGCGCGAATAACATTAGTTATACATTATAACGGGTAATCGTTAACGAAAATAAATGTCTGCAGCGTCCACGGTCTGACTGAAGCGAAGGAATTTGAAGTTACTAGAATCGGGTCATGGGGAGAATTTGCTAAGTCGATACCCGCACGCCCCCCGATCATTACAGAATCGTTCGGTGACACCGGATACCCGGACCGCGTGCGCATGTTGAGTGAAACAGCAGTGTATGGAGGCCAACGAAGTCTATGCGAACAGAGAAAAAGCGCGGAGAAGCGGCATAAAACTGGCAACCGAAGGATGTTGCAATAAGCATATGTGAACTAGCACAGTACGTGGTATCGTGTACTAGCGTGGTACCTATAGGGTCGTGTACCAGCGTAGTACGTGGTGTCGTGTACTAGCGTGGTACCTATATGGTCGTGTACCAGCGTAGTACCTGGTGTCGTGTACTAGCGTGGTACCTAGAGTCGTCTACCAGCGTAGTACTTGATATCGTGTACTAGCGTGGTACCTAGGGTCGTGTACCAGCGTAGTACGTGGTGGCGTGTACTAGCGTGGTACCTATAGGGTCGTGTACCAGCGTAGTACGTGGTATCGTGTACTAGCGTGGTACTTAGGGTCGTGTACCAGCGTAGTACGTGGTATCGTGTACTAGCGTGGTACCTAGGGTCGTGTACTAGCGTAGTACGTGGTATCGTGTACTAGCGTGGTACCTAGGGTTTTATACCATCGTAGTACCTGGTGGTGTGTACTAGCGTGGTACCTAGGGTTTTGTACCTGTGTAGTACCTATGGTCTTGTACCAGCGTAGTACCTGGTGGCGTGTACTAGCTTATAGTACCTGTGGTCGTGTACCAGCATGGTACATGGTACCGTGTACTAGCGGAGTACCAGTTGTCGTGTACCAGTGTGGAACTTGGTAGACTGTACTAGCGTGGTACCTGGCACGACGTAAGCTGATTGGAAAGTTTGAGAGTTACATGACGCGAGATCTCGTTTGCGCTATTGCCGCTGACCACAATATTTACCGTAAACACCTATGGGCGTCATCAATCCGAGCTCTGTATGGCCCCCAACCAACCTACACGCACTTAACATGTAAATTAGGGATCCACTCGAGCAGCACACAATGTCGATATTTCGTGAGTCCGCAGTTGCGAATTATCAGGCGAGCCTTCGTCTAGATTGCCGTTATAATTTATCGGGCATTAAACCGCTTACGTAATACTTGGATTTCGGCGGGGATTCCGAGTGAAATTGCCATTTCCAGGTGGCAATAGACGGAGGGTAATTGCATTCGATTGTAGAGCGTAGAATTTAATACGGGATTTGCTACATAATTTTAGGATATAATCACTGATTTGTCTCAATTCATGAAAGCGAGTGCGCCCGACGTAAGAGCACTTATGCTCGCATCTAACTTAACTACCAATCTTATCTGGCGGCCTGACACGATGAAATTGATGCTGATAACTCGCTAACAATTTCATCGCTATCGATTAAAAAAATCCTGCAGGCAGACTCGAGGTCGCGATGCGGCTGGTATTGTGTTGGGGGAGATGACCGCAAGACAAAATATTGACTGTTGCCTACAGCTCAATCACCCTACACTAGGTAAATTGGCACGGATGATATAATAATGCAATGCACACGTGTAGCTGTGTGTCTCGGGTTGCGTCGCTTCAGCCACGCGAATTCGAGTTGCGATTATTTCTCGATTTAGACGGCAACTCGTTTGTTGACGGTCGTGATTGGCCGCACTCGCCTTACAAGCTCGCTTACCTTATATTCCAGAACGTGTTTCTCCGCGGTTGTAAGAGGTTTGACTCGATCAGCGCTAAACTCTGAAATCAACCGAATTAAAACGCCATCATGGATATTGTTTACGTCGCTGCTCCCCCCCCTCCCCCTTGTGATTGTAATTAAGCCTTGCTGGCCTAATTACAATCAGCACTGTGATGTGTGATATCTGTCGATGAACGTATAGTTCTCTCCCGCAATTCAACACATATATGCGTACGATCAAGTATAGTGTAACGAGGCAAGTCTCATTTACGTTCGGCTTAGCGTTTGATATAACATAATTGTCGTAATTGCTCCGCACTTTCCCGCACGCGTTTTTCGTATCGTTTCGACGTGGCAAAATGAATAGATCCATTAATTAATGATCAGACTTTACTGCACTTTAAAACAGACGAGAGAGCGCGCCGCAGCAGTTAAGACAGCCAACATGTTCTGCTTGCATCTATGACAAAAAATTAATACGACATACGCATATACGCTCTCCTATGACACTATGTGTCATATGAAGATTCTTCCTATGACAAACATTGGCGAGTCAACTTCGTTCCGCTTTCCAGCTGAAATTCACTGCTTGCGTTCATAATAGCGCTCATAAACTCCTAAGATGCGCACAACACATACAACAATATTTGTCATAGAAAGAATCTAGTGTCATAGAAGAGCGTATATGCGTATGTGGTATTTGTCATAGATGCTAGCAGAACAGGCTAGACAGCGGATGAATACAGCCGCGCGCGTACACACGCGTAGAGGCGGAGATCTAGAGATCTATCTTTAATGCGCGCGTATCTTTCTTCGTTCTATGCGTTACCGTCAGTCCGATATTTTTGGCGACGACACCTTCCGTGATATTCGCAAACGGCTTGTCGGCGCCCCACGAGTCGAGATAACGTGCTACTCGCGTCGAACTCTTGATGGAGCCTCGCTGGCTTCCGACGTTCCTCGACAGCTCCTCGGATTTTCCTCGCTCATCCGCATCGTTGCGCTGCACGAGAGAGAGAGAGAAGACGCGGAGTTTACGGATGAAGAAGCAGAGAGAGATGGGTAGGGAAAGCGAGGAAGACGATAGAGAGGGAGACAGGGAGAGAGAAACAGGGAGAGCGAGAGAAAGAGAGAGAGAGAGAGAGAGAGAGAGCGCACGCGAGAGAGAGAGAGGAAGGATGGAGTGGGAAGAGAGAGAGCGAGAGTCAGTGAGAGAGAAAGAGAGAGAGAGAGAGAGAGAGAGAGCGCGAGAGAGAGAGAGAGGGAAAGATGGAGTGGGCAAGAGAGAGAGCGAGAGTCAGTGAGAGAGAAAGAGAGAGAGAGAGAGAGAGAGCGCACGCGAGAGAGAGAGAGGGAAAGACAAGGATAGATAGATCGATAGATAGATAGAGAGAGAGGGGGGAGAAAGCGAGCGAGAGAGAGAAAATGAAAACGGTATTATAAAATGCAATCTACTTGACGCGTACTCTACATGTAGATCTCCTAGTTCACGCATTTTAATAATAATAATAATAATAATAATAATAATAACAACAATAACAATAACAATACATAATAATTTCACATAACTGTGCCTATTCACCTTTGGCGGTATGATGAAGAATGTTTCTACGCTATGCTCTTTTAGAAGATCGTCTCTGTCTTCACCGTAGCCCTGCTCTACCTCCCATTTACTGCCATCCAGTTGCAAAAGTGTCGCCTTGGTAATGTGCACCTTCCTGCAATCATATACGTGCATATTCCATCCCATATACGCAAGTGAGATCATTTCCGTTGCTCACACTCTATGCATGCTTGGGTGCGTGCATTCCCTGAATGTGTTTTCTTCCGACTGAATATATCCATATCTGTCTGAATATATTTTATATGCGTCTATCTACGTTGGCGTCCGCAAGCATTATAGGTTTTGTTGAAACTGGCCGTTAAAAACATATTACGGTCGTCTTTTCGGCGACGACGTTCCCCGATTATACATTTACCACTCACATCACATTAGAAAACTAGCCGTGAAATCCTTACGCGTGTAAGTGTTGCTTTCTGCTGAGAATTTGCCCGTGATCCAGGCGGCGCCACTATATATACTTATATTATATTATACAGTATTGCTATAATGCGCGCTTATATACAATCTAATACATGGCGATGATGAGTATTCTATACAATAATCTATAAATTTCTCGAAGAATGTAGAGAAATGACAACCTCTCGTGAAATATACTCCGTAAGTGCTTTCGCTGCCGTAGCCCACTGTCGCAGCTGCCGTCAATGAACTGTATTACCATCAACCCCATTTTGCTCTAATCAAATATTCGTACGTAAGTAGTGTGCACAGTATTTACCCAGGCATGCCACTGGACTCCATGTGATTTGCGATGGTGACGTCATCAGACCATACATCGTACTGCCACTTACGCAGCCCGATGACACCGCACAACACGTCGCCAGAGTGTATGCCTATTCTCATGTCTACATTCACGCCCGTGGCATGGCGTACGGCACTGCAAACAGTAACCAGAATTTCATAAAGGGACCTGCTCACATGAACGGCTGGCATGAATTCTCCATTATATGAACATAATCGGATATCCGATCTGAACCTAAAATATATGTATTTATAATCGCGTCTACGTGAATGCGCATGTGTTTAAGTATATTTAGCAAATTATTGTAAGGTACATACAGTTTAGGTTTTGTTCTAATGGAGATTTTGTTACATGGTACAGCTATATCTTATTTAGATACGCATAAGGATAAACATATCGAGCGGTATTTTTAGTGACTGAAATATAGAAGTAAAGACAAAGTGCACTCAAATATTTAACCTCAATGAGTTTAAAAGTTTATGCACGCATGTACAATTCTATCTTCGTTATGTGGATGTTGTTTAATGCACGAAAGAAGTTTTTCGCAATGAAATCTATAATGTTTTGTATGTAAAATGTAGGCATTATTCGAATTATGTAAATTGACGACATCTATTCGTACAAACCTTTTCCTCTAGTTTCTCCTATCATCTCCCCGCGACCATTAAATATTAAGCAAACTGAGCACCGGCGTCGAAAATTTACCGTCAAATCAAACTAGTCGCCCATCAATCTTTTATCCCAGGTTTCCTATTTACATCAATTATTCATGCGCGTTGAAAGTTAGCAGTGAAAACTTCTCAACTATTTGCACAGGTTTGCCGTGCACGTGCGACGCGGGAACGCAACAGGAAGAGCAGGTCGTATTTTGTCGGCTAGGTGGCGTTGCATACTATTCGTATACGTACGTTTCCAGCTCACTTTCAGTATGTGTAAGTGAAACCTAGAGAGTTATGCGTCCGCGTGCCTATTCGAGATAGATATATATGTAAAATAATGTCATATACGAATAGCAAACTTACAGCGAATAACATCAGATAGCCGCCTTTGACAGCTTAGCAGAACACACATGTGGGAAAAGACTGTAAGAAGATCTATGCTATCCTTTGCGGTTGATCGCGATTCGTGATATTGCCGCGAGAATCCGACGCCATTAAACAGTTTCTACTCCAATTTCTACATCCTTTTACATTGCGCGATCTAGTGGAATATAGCCCCAATTCGGTTCATCTCATAGTATGACTAAAACGGAGCTTTGGAAGAACCCACGCACCCCCTTCCCCGACTACGATGGCATTTTGAAACGGAGCTGCAGGGGAAGTGCCGTATATTTTAACATCACAGTGACCTCAACGACACTGATCGCACCACCGAGTAACTCGAGTGCGGTTATTGAATGTTTTTACTATACTGTAGCAGATCACACCTCCTGCGGGTTAATGCCAAATAAGTATACGTTCTACGCGAAATACAACCAGATGCGCGGCAAAAATCGCTCGAGTGCCGAAATTCAATTGATCAATTTCTGTCAATTGCTCACGCGATGAGCGTATTCATGAGGTGACAGACAGCCGACGATTGCGTTTGTGATACCGAGTAAGTGTGTGCGTGATACGGATAGCCATCGACCTACGAGCACGCAGGCAGAGAGCGATAGGTATACGTATATCACATACGCTTTTCGATTTCGTTAGCAGTATGATCGCTGCCTCTACCTTATGGCCTCGATCATTTCGAATCCCATCTTGACGCAGTTTGATGCATGAGTAGGCCGAGAAATCGGCATGCCCGACACGCAGTAATAGCAATCTCCGAGAATTTTGATCCTCATACACTGATTATCCTGAAATGAAAAGTAATCATGAAGAAACTTCCACACACGCGCGCGCCGCCGCTCGCACCGAGTAAAACCCAACGAAATCAATGTAAGCATCCGCTCGCAAACTTTAGCCGACATTTTCTCTAAGAACCGGAAACAGGAACGTATTCGTCTGAACTGTATCCTCGCGTATATAAAACATAGCCTGCACTGTATATACACTTTCCTATGAGCATGACTATTCGACATGGCGATGTTTCCCCGCTGCACATCGATAATCGTGAGTTTATATAACCATGTCGGGTGTCTAAATTACATAATCTACGTGTTTTCACATGTGTAGATACTGGGTCTGCAATGAGCTCTTGCATGCCGAATAGCAACATAACTAGAATAAAAAAATCCCACGTCGAATGGCGACGTACAGTATTCTACGAAATATCTTAAAAACTACATAAAACACTGCAACAGAATTGTCACTAGGCGTTACAATCGAACCGGCTCGATTCTCTCAAGGAGCTAAATATATTTAGCTCTTTGGACTCTCTGTCACACTGCCTCAGGCATCACCGCATTTGGAACGTTTTACATCTAGCTAAAACGTTATAGTCTCCGCGGGTCCGGTGCGATGTTGTTTAAGGTAACTGAAGGTCAACCATATATAAGTACGGTCGAACGTATGCTTAACAAATAAACCGAGAACATTGCGCCGAAACGCGCTGTTCAGGTTTAACGACCGCCGCCCTCGTGATGTGTGATCAAACGTAAAACCGCGCCGCGGTACGTGACTGCTTTCGATTCTACAAGCGCAGTTTCCGCTGTTGGCTAATCCTAACCAGCATCTTTTCTCGGGAGCATTTCGGGAGAATTTCAGAGGAAGGAAATGATCGCGTTTTAGTGTTAAATTAACGATAGCGTATTAACTATATTACTATGTTCGCACGTTGTGGCGTTAGTGTGGAATTTCAAGCTGACCTGTTTTTTTTACCTCTGCTCGTCTAACGTTTCAAAGACAAATATAATCACGTTATAGATTGATAATTGCACTATTTCATGAACTAATGCACTTTGTTGCTAGAAAAAGATAATTCTGAACTGAGCAAAGTTTAACGAAAATATTAAGTTGCGCTAATTAAAACATGGGGAAACATTGACAGAATGAGGAGCAGCGTTAATATATCTAACTTACGCGATACCATGCAATATTTCCCACTAAGCATATATAGGCATATATGTATTCTATATTATGCTCCGTGGTTAATATTCCTATAATATTTCTCATCTTAGCGGCAAAATTAAATTTCGTATTTAAATGGTGGGCGCATTTGATGCGTAATTTGAAGCGCGGTAAGATGTACTATGTACTACGATTTAATTATTCAATATACCAAAAGAAAAAAATTATGCCAATAGGCTGTGCAGTGGCGAACAAGAGAGGATGATACAGAGAGCGTGAGAGAGGGGAGAGAATGGGTGAGTGAGAGAGAGAGGGGGGGAGCGAGAGAGACAGCGAAAGATAGCGAGAGACAGCGAAAGAGCGAAAGAGAGAGAGAGAGCGCGAGAGCGCGAGAGAGAGAGCGAGAGAGAGAGAGAGAGAGAGAGAGAGAGAGAGAGAGAGCGCGCACGAGCGAGAGAGAAAGAAAGAGAGAGAGAG